AAAAAGATGACCAACGTGAAAGCTGTAGGAACACAACAAATTGATAGAGCATGATTTTAGAAAATTTCAGAAAAAAAATCATCAAATTTGAAGTTAGTATGACGGAGAAAGACTAGCTACAAGTTTTAGCCAGAGATTAAAAGGAGAAATGAGACTTCTTTAAAAAACTGAATTTCAAACAGAAATTTGAAATAGTATATGATTTTAAATAAAAAAGTCGTCAACTACAAAGTTATATAACTTTTCGAGATTTATAACTTTCGTTTTGGTCATTTCTCCATTTGAGGATATTTTAAAAATTCAAATTTCAAATGTGAGAAATTCAAACATAGTTTTCCTTGACAAAATGATTTCAAATGAAAAAGTTATCAACTACAAAGTTGCATAACTATTTGAGATCTACAACTTTTATTTTGATCATTTCTCCATCCAAAGTCATTTCAAATATTTGAATATGAGACACGCATGTGACATCAAAGACAATAATAAAGATCTTAGAGAACCTTCGAATAAATATTTGGAGTACATAAAAATTACATATACGATGACAAAGACCTAACAATAAAATTACATATACGATAACGAAGACCTTTCTCCGAATAGGTCAATGTTACAATCAAAGTGTAGCAACACATTATAAAATAACCACCTCAAAAACATTCTTCTAGCACCAAAGCAGAGTCAAATAGGTGGCAGAGGATGCCAGAGGTGGATGACGAACTACGCCTATTTGGAGATGAAGGGGGCGGTTATGTGAGCTCCGATAAACCCATACCACTCGAAGACGGTCCCCATTCATGCTTTGAATGGATAGGCGATCTGCAGACAATCCAGTACACCCGCATAGGATGGATCCATCAACCTCGTGAGATGACCATTACAACAATTACGTTGCACGAAGGCCGACCTAGCTTCCCTGTGCTTGGCGTGGCTCTATCTTCAAAAACATTCTTCTAGTACCACTTGTGTGCATCATCACGACCACGCATAATAAAATTTATATGTGGAGGGCTTTCTCCCACAGAGAGGCCATATATGTCGATCAGAAATTGGGCAAACAACAACAGATGGACAGGGATCGAATGGGGCAAAACAATACCAGAGACGAACTGCAGGCCTTCAGAGATCAGGGGCTTGCGCGGTGGCCGGTTTTATAAGCGTGAGCAGCGGTGGTAGGTGGAAGGAGTGGTGATCGCGCACGGTGGTCGGTGGAAGCAGTGGTCGGCGTGGTAGGTGGGGGACTTTTAGTCCCAATTTGTAATAAAACCATAATTAAAGGTACCCTTTAATCTTGGTTTGTCCTACAAATCGGGACTAAAAGGTCCTTTTAGTAGTCCCGATTTGGAATAAAAACCGGGATTAAAGGTACCTTTATTCCCCTGTATTTTTATTCCGACAAAAATTATGATGTGTTTGTATTCCACAATGAAAACCAATGTGTTTTTTGCAGTTTATTCAAACATCTATTCCGATAAAAATACTTTTTGAGATCTACAACTTTCGTTTTGGTCATTTCTCCATTCAAGGTCGTTTGAAAAATTAGACGTATGCGACATCGAAGATAATAATAAAGATCTTAGAGCACCTAATTAAACAAAACCGTTCGAATAAACCTAATTAGCATAATTAAATATCCATACAAATAACCTAATTAACACATGAACCTTACAAACTGGGTGCAGCTCTAGCCTGTCTCCATTGCCAGTAGCGTATGTCTCGAATTATGTAACCATGGTCATTGTCTATGTATTGCAAGGCCCGCACTAAAACACTCTCTCTTGCATCACAATGTCGAAGACATGGTATCCCATAGATGTAGCCTACTGTCGGACTATTGATGGCCCGGTTCTACCTAAATCTCACGCAGTACTGGATACCAGCTGTCGTCATCTGGCTCCGGTCTTCCACATAGTCCCAGGTGTACCCTAGTCGCTCAATAGCTTGCATGAGAATGGGTTGCATGCCACTTGCAGCATAGGTGAAATCATAGAGTCAATTCTGCAAGCGGACAAACAAAAAATATCAGGAAGCACTCATATAATAATAAGAATAAATAAATATTACTCTGATATCATACACAACTTACCACATCCATTTGGTTGAATCTCGCATGCCTCTCGCTCACTAGCGGTACGTCCAGATTACCCTCACGTAAAGCTTCTATCTTCAAGGACGAGAAATCAGGCATACGGTAGCCAATTCACTCAATTGCCTGCAAATAAAGCAGCACGGCATCGATCTAGGCGCCTATCTTGGTCGGCATCTGTCGTCCAGTCTGCACGATGTCTTGGCGCAGAACTTGATTGTATCTAATGGGGATGTCAAAGGCAAGATTACACGTCCATAACTCACCACCTTCATCATTCACGACCTCACTTGTTGTCATCTCGAAGATGTCCCACATCCCGAGCAGCCATAGTGCTGATTTCAGCCACTGGACCAGGGATATAGTCTGTGACATATGCAACATTCATATTATGAATGAATGTATATATGCAAAAATTATATTAGCACGCAAAACTTAAAAAATTCCATATTATTGATGGGTGTGGGTGACACGGAACGACCCTATTTGGCGGTGGCATGAATGAAAGATCGCCAGGATGGAAACCTGGTTCCTGTGGTAGGGGAAGTCCACCGCCATTCATCGTAACTAAAAAAACCAAAAAACATCCAATAAATATATAACCCCAATATAAATATACCATACAATATATTAGAGAAACATATAAAAAATAAACTCAAGATTTATATATGCATGCCAAGTAAACTTAAACATTTTGCAACCATTTTGCACCCTACTTGTTGGCACATATTTTTTTAACAATTATTAACTCTCATCAAGAGCTAATGTTGCTAATAAAGATATATATATATATATCCATAAATAAAAATAAAAATCCACCATTATTATTAGAAGATAAAGTTGCTAACAAAGATATATATATATCCATAAATATAAATATAAATCCACCACTATTATTAGAAGATGAAGTTTCTAACAAAGATCTATATATATATATATATATGTATGTATATATGCATAAATAAAAATAAAAATCCACCATTATTATTAGAAAATGAAGTTGCTAACAATGGTTAGAAGATGAAGTTGCTAATCTGGCCATGTTCGGCTTACCCCATATTCAGCTTGTTCGGCTTCTTTTTTTAGCTGGAACAGTGTTTTCCTCTCACAACAATTCAGCCGAAGCAATGTTTTTCAGCCAAGTTTCAGACCAGCGAACGGGCCTCTTTAGAAAGTAAGAATGGATGAGATTGAAGAACTTCTCAAGAAGCCAAGAGAACAATGGAGAAGAAGATGCTTGATGGCGGGTGGCAAGAACTGCTCTTGCTCCCCCAAACAAGAACACACACGCAATATTCAAACTGGATATGGCTCGGGCTTGGGGGACCGAGGAACCAGCCAAGATATACAGTGGAGACATTTAGTCCCAGTTGGTGGAGTCGACCGGGACTAAAGGGTCAACCTCTAGTCTCAGTTGGAGTCACCACCCGGAATAAAAGACCAAGGGCATCTTTGGTTCCGGTTGGTGGTTCCAACCGAAATTAAAAGGTAACCTTTAGTCCCGGTTTGAACCATAGACCGGGACTAAATGTCCCTGTTGGAAAAGCCTGCTGCACTATCCGTTGGACAGAGAATTTTAGTCCTGATAGGTGGTTCCAACCAGAATTAAATATCCCATTAGTCCCGGACCCAATTACAGACGGGGCTAAAACCAAAAGTCTATTCTCTACTAGCAAACAGTCGTCCCGTTTGTTTTTCCAATTTTGTTTCCTACCCATCGTGTCCATCCTGGTTTCCCTTTTTCCTCTATTTTTTTCATGTCTAGTTTCCATTTTCTATTCCTATTTTGTATAGTGTCCATCCTGGTTTTTTCTTTTTCATTTTTTCACGTTGTGTTTCCGTTTCCCTTTTTGCATCTTTTGTTTTGTTTCCAAAACAAACACAAAAGAATTCCGATCTAGACATCTTATATTTGAATTATGATTCCTTGTTATATTGTAGTTAATTGCAGGATATCATACATACATATATAAAACGTGAGAACCATAGGCAGACATGAAAAGAGACAATTTCTACATTTACAAAGTTAGTTAGAGGATGATGGACTAAAAAAAATAGTCAGAAATTTTCTCTTTATTATTAGAGAATAGATCTGTTGCTTACATGGTTTGGCTTATAGCCATGTTTAGGTCCTGTTTAGATCCCACCTAAAATCCAAATATTTTCAAGATTCTTCGTCATATCAAATCTTGCGGCACATGCATAGAGCATTAAATATAGGTAAAAAGAATAACTAATTGCACAGTTTGCCCGTAATTGGCGAGACGAATCTTTTAAGCCTAAATAGTCCATAATTAGATAATTTTTATCAAATATAAACGAAAGTATTACAGTAGCCAAAAACCAAAAATTTTCGCATCTAAACGGGACCTTACTGGGTTTGCTATAAAAGAATTCCACCATCGACACGCCCTTCCGATGTGTGTCCACCGTCCAGCCTCCCCAAAACACCAGACAGAAGCAAAGCTCCACCACTCCGCCACGGCACGTCCCCCGGCTCCACGCCCACGCCCACGCCCACGCAGCCGGCTGGCCTTCTGCCGACCGCTGTGAGACTAGGAGAGACTGACACCCTTCCCGATTCGTCGAATCCGCCATTTACTCCTCACCCACCCTCTCCTCCTACCCAGCCAGCCCTGTCTCTCTCTGTCCCTGGCAAGCAAGCGCATGCCACAAAGCCCTGCCCACTATAAAATGAAGCCCACGAGCCCCCCCGGAGCTCTCCATCCCCAAAACAAAAGGGTGAGCCTTCACTTCACACGCCGGCCGGCACAGGTAGGAGTTGTGGTACATGCTGGCCCTGATGCTCTGATCCTTCCATTCCATTCCTTTTCCTTGGCTGGCTCTTAATTAATGGACGTCCACGATCGTGTTGTTTTGTTTGTTGGTGCTAGCAGCTGCTGTGCTGAGGACGATGGAGCGGTTCGGCGTGCTGGGCACGCGGCTGGGCCTGGACGGCGTCGGCGGCGGCGGAGGAGGAGGCGAGCTGCCGCCGGGATTCCGGTTCCACCCGACGGACGAGGAGCTCATCACCTACTACCTCCTCCGCAAGGCCGTGGACGGCAGCTTCTGCGCCCGCGCCATCGCCGAGATCGACCTCAACAAGTGCGAGCCATGGGAGCTCCCGGGTGCGTGAGTCGCTTATCAAATCGTTCTTGCACATGCATGCATTGTCTCCTGCTGCCACTCGTGATGATCTGATCACGCCATTGCTGATTGCCCCCACGCACAGACAAGGCGAAGATGGGGGAGAAGGAGTGGTACTTCTACAGCCTCCGCGACCGCAAGTACCCGACGGGCCTGCGCACCAACCGCGCCACGGTTGCCGGCTACTGGAAGGCCACCGGCAAGGACCGCGAGATCCGCAGCGCCCGCTCCGGCGCGCTGGTCGGCATGAAGAAGACGCTCGTCTTCTACCGCGGCCGAGCCCCGAAAGGACAGAAGACGCACTGGGTCATGCACGAGTACCGCCTCGAGGGCACCTACTCCTACCATTTCATCCCCAGCTCCACAAGGGTAACTTTAATTTGCGCTTTTTTCCTCGCTTTTTATTCCTTTTGGTCCAAAATAATGCTACTTACTAGTAGTATATACTGTAACTGTTCATAAACAAAATAATGCGAGTATTTGTTTATGTTCTCTGGGATTGAAGTTCATCACGCATACATCTAAAACTCGAAAAAAAAATTTAAAGTTTCCGTACACTACGCACTCCACAAAAACACAAATACTCCTAGGGCCATGTTTAGTTGGCCACCGATTTGGCGTCGCCGGAATTTAGTGATACTGTAGCGATATTGTAGCGTTTTATCTGTATTCGGTAATAATTGTCTAATCGTTGACTAATTAGATTTAAAACGTTCGTCTCGTAAAATACAACCAAACTGTGTAATTAGTTTTTAATTTTGTTAATATTTAGTTTTGTTAACATTTAGTACTTCATATATATCATAAGTTTGATATGACGAAGAATTTTCCTTTTGAAAATTGGGGACTAAACATGGCCTAGGTACTAGTAGTACAGCACTAGAGACACGAAGTAATGATGATGGGAGGGCAAAAGGGTGGTCATAGGCTCACTCAAAGCATCGCATGGCTTGCTACGAGTAGGACAGGAGTAGCTGCAGCACAGTGTGGCACAGTGCACAGGGGCAGGGCAGGGCACAGTGCACAGGTGCGTTTAGATCCAAAAATTTTTAGATTTTGGGTCACTGTAGCATTTCGTTTGTATTTGGTAATTAGTGTCTAATTATGAATTAATTAGGTTCAAAAGTTTCGTCTCGCGATTTCTCGACCAACTGTGTAATTAGTTTTTATTTTCGTCTACATTTAGTGCTCCATGCATATGCCGTAAAATTCGATGTGACAGTTACTATACAAAATTTTTTTGGCAACTGAACGGGGCCGCGTAGGATACTGCTGCTTGCTTCTGCAGCTCGCTCTGCTGCTACATTACGTGCGCGTGGATATGGCAAAAGCCCAAGACCAAGCCAGGACAAGGATTCGAATCTTTTCTCGGCCAGTGCCGACGATGCGAGCGTATCAGCAATTGCGTGAATGCTTCAGCTTGTTTGATTTTTTTACTAGCATTACTGCTGCTACGCTTCCACTTTCTGAATTTGATCGATGTCATGGCTCGTGGATGCTAAAATCTACTACTACTATATTGTATTCGTGTTTCCTATCTCGTGTCAAGCATGTGCCACTAGATTCAGCAAAATGTTTGTTTTTCCTTTTGGCATGTATAAAATAAAATAAAATCTGTTGCATTGTACTTTTTTTTATTAATTATCAGCAAAGTATATTCACGTTACAATTGCATTTTCTACGGAGTACCTTTTTTAAATTAATTATGAGCGGTAAAAGAAAGACACCTGAACTGTAGCATTGTTTCTTCTTTATATAACACACGTAGTACCTTTTTCAGGATGAGTGGGTGATCGCGAAGGTGTTCCAGAAGCCCGGCGAGGTCCCACCCGCCCGCAAGCGCCACCACCGCCTCGGCGGCCTGAGCAGCGCCGGCGAGTCCTGCTTCTCGGACTCCACCTCGGCCTCCATCGGCGGCGGAGGAGGCGGCGGCGGCGCGTCCGCGTCGTCCGCGCCTCGCCCGCTGCTCACGGTGACGGACGCCTCCTCGCTGTCGCTGTTCGCGTCGGCCGCCGCGGCCAATGCCGCCGACGGCGACGCCAGCTCGTACTGCGGCGGCCACGGCGGCGCCGCCAACGCCAACAATGGCAACAACCTGGTCACCGGCCGTGAGCTCGTGCCCTGCTTCTCCACTAGCACCACCACCGGCGCCGCCCTGGATGCCGCCGCGCTCGGCATCGGGCAGCCGTACAACGCGGCCCCGCTGCCGCTGGCCTTCGAGCCGCCACCGACTCCGGCCTTCTTCCCGAACCTGCGTTCGTCCCTGCCGCAGATGCAGGACAACCACCTCCAGCTGCCACTGTTCCTCTCAGCAGGCGGAATGGGATCGCTGGGCGGCGGGGCTCTCCACCACTGGCCCCTCGCCGGCATGGAGGTCAAGGTCGAGGGCCGCTCCGCGCCGCCGCAGATGGCTGTCGGCCCCGGCCAGCTCGATGGCGCCTTCGGCTGGGTCTTCTAGCTGCTTGCACACACCGCTACATGGATAGGGATAGGGATATGCCCCCACGTCCACATGGTCGTTGTGCTAATTTACCCTCCGAAGTAACCAATCACTCGATTAGTACGTTGTGATTTCTGCATGCGGTGTCGTTAAGCTTGGTTAATTAGCTGCTACTAGTGAGTGTTAGGGTCGTCGTTTTATGTAATGTAGGGTAACTGTGTGGTTTAGTATCTCTCGCTGCAGTAGCTGGATGTGACTGACCGGCCGACCATGGGTTGGTAAATCAGTCGATCATCAGTTCGTGCAGTAGCAGCTTTGTTCGTGGATTAGATGTGTCATGTGTGCCTAGCGCAGTACTCATAGTTCGTGCTGTGGAATCGACGGGATGCGATGCGCCTGCTGAGCCCTGGAGCTTCTGACCGCGTGCTTGTGCGGTGTACTAGTGGTATTGGTTTTGGCTGGTGGTGCTCGAGAGCGCTAAAAGTCCACACGGCCGTTTCCCTGGCACGGCACGGGCACGGCGCCTCAGCTTTTTGCATGCATGCGTCCATCCATCCGTCATTCCAAACGTCACTTCCTTCCACCATTGCCATGCCTACCCATACGGCCATGCCTCCTCGCCTCTCCCCTCGTCTCTCTCTCTCTCTTCGTGCAGTGCGGTGTGGCTGTGGCAGCAGCAGCTTGGAGGAGGGGCGAGCGAGTACGAGCAGGTGTACTCCAATATTTTATGTGATGGATGGCGACGGTGACGAGATTGGGACGTCTCCTGCTGGATCCCTGGGAATGGATACACCGACGGGTACGTGACGGGGGATGATACAGAGGCTCTTTCGCTCGCTCGCTCGACGAGCTCCATGGCTATCTTTAACGACAGCAAAAAAAAAAATACAAGACTTATTTGTCTCTCGGTAGCGTTACAGATAAAAGTTTCAATATCTATTTAGCATCTTCAACAACCAAACTAAAAAAAGAATCCTTTCTATAAATAGGTTTCAGAAGAAAGGACGTTCATATTTGAGTTTGCCTCTCATATAACCTAAAATAGGTCTAACATATAGATGCTTTGTTGGAGAATAATTTTGGATTTCTTGCTACCATTTTAGATTTGACGTCCACATGGGTTCTCGATGGAGACAGGCTTACGTCACAAACAGGTCGCATCATGCATCCATGCGATGGATGGCCGCTAGCTGCAGGAACCCACGCCTGACCTCATCGTGCTCCAAAACACTCATGGAATCGAGATCTCAATCCATCCAGGAAGAGGATTTACCTTTTGCAGCAGTTTTTTTACGTCAAAGCTACTGTGCACGGCATGCATGGTATCACCGTACCGATACAATGATGCGAGCAACTCTAAGCTCAACTGTAGGACTTCGCCAGAACTTAAGCTTGGGTTAGTTAGCATGGCCTTAAAGGATAGGAGTAGTGATTTTATTGGTTCCAAATACTCACTCCCACCCAAAATACTTTGACCTTAAAGGATTCAAATTATCTCAAAATACTTCCTCCGTCCCTAAATATCCATCGTTTTCGCGTCCCGAGAAACAACTTTAATTAAATATATATTAAAAAATATTAATATTTATGATACATAATTAGTATCATTGGATAGATATTTAAATATAGTTTTTTAATAAATTTATTTGGAGATAGAAATGTTACACGCGTTTTCTATAAATCGAGTCAAAATTATCGGTACGTAAATCGTGGTGACAAATATTTAGAGACAAAGGGAGTAGTTAACACTCCCACTTTTCAATGTACTCCTTCCGTCCCATAACAAGTGCACTTTTAGAGTTTAAAATTTTGCCCAAAATAAATGCACATCTACCTATAAGACAATCTAACTTCATTTGTCCTTTTCTACTTTATCTCTTCCCAAGGTACAACGATTGCATCTTTATAGGGGTATATTTGCAATTTTTCAGTAGAATTGTTATCTTCACCGTAATCCTAAAAGTGCAGTTATTTTGGGATGAATGGGGTATCTTTCTCTTTCTACCAATGCACCATTTTCTTTTCTCAATACATCTCTATCAATATTTCTCACTATTTCTCTCCTTGCTTTATGTGTACCACACATTTTCACTTCTTAATTTTCGTGTCGAAACTAAAACGTCTACTATTTTGGAAGAGAGTGAGTAGTTCTTATGTAATAGAGGAATAAAAAGACTCTTTTTTACGGTATATGAAAGAGTCGTACCTAGAGTCAGGGCTAGATCCGTACCTAGAGTCAGAGCTAGCCAGAGCTCTACAAAATATGGCTTAATTTAAAGGGTTTTTTGAAGGAGATGTACATTTAGATGGCTCAACCAAAACATTGTCTCACAACTTGGATGCCAACAAGTTAATTAGGAGTTGGCTGTGATGTGGCAAACACTTGGAGTATAATTAGGTTCTTATTTCGCACCAATCTTTTAGAGGTATCTGAAAGGATCAAGATGACTAAGAGAGAGGGTAAATTGGGCTAATTCTAAATTTTTTTGCAATAATTAAATCTTATTGATAGCCCAATTAACCCCTTGTGCTTAGAAAGTGTTTGTAATGTTCTATCGTACAAAGAGACTTGCAACCTAAGTTCCAATCCTATTCTAGCATGGCAATTCTAGGAATATAAATGATAAGAATTGAATTGCTCAAAGTAATGCTTAAAGAAAATGTTCAAAGTAAAGAGAGGAGAGGAAACGCGGCGATGTTTTGCCGAGGTATCGGAGAGTCGCCACTCCCCACTAGTCCTCGTTGGAGCAACCGCGCAAGGGTATAGCTCCCCCTGGATCCGCGCAAGGATCAAGTGCTCTCTACGGGTTGATTCTTCGACACTCCGTCGCGGCGAATCACCCAAAGCCGCTCATAACTTGAGTTGGGTCACCCACAAGATCTGTCGGGTGATCACCAAGCTTTCAATCACCACCAAGCCGTCTAGGTGATGGCGATCACCAAGTGTAACAAGCACGAACTCTCACTTGACCACGCGAAGCCTAATGAGAACGGTGGATGCACACTTTGCTACTCTTGATTCACTAATGATGCTACTCTCTTGGATTCTCAAATCACAAACACCTCACTAGGACCTTGCTCTTCTTGGCACTCACAAATGTGTTTCTCAGCTGTTGGAATGAGCAAAAAGTACCCCCTCACACGAAGGGGTGAAGTATTTATAACAGCGGCTGAAAAACGAACCGTTATGTGCCTCTGCGGGGTGACCGGACGCTCCGGTCAGTTCAACACGCAAACCAGTGATAATGTGTTGACCGGACGCTGTTAGGGTCCGGTCACCACTGACCGAACGCGTCCGGTCGCATTAAACCCTCACTGGAACCTTACTGTACTCGACCGGACGATGAACCCCCAGGGTCTGGTTAGTACTGACCAGACGCGTCCGGTCGCAGATTCCCTTCTCTGGAACCTTACTGGAGTCGACCGGACGCTGCCTCTCAGCATCCGGTCACTTGACCACTCCAGCGTCCGGTCGCACCAAACGCAATCTCTTGATCAAATGAACTGACCGGACCCTGCGGCCAGCGTCTAGTCGCACCGGAGCTAGCGTCCGGTCAGTATTTGACCATCCATTCACCTTCAACTCTCAATCATGTGTGAATGAAGTTTGCTCCATTGGATCTTAGGCATATGTAGGAGCTACCTAGAGCTAGTTTAAACAAGTGTGCACCACACCTAACTCACTAGACTCATCTAGGTCAAGCTACCCGTCCATACCCCCCTTAATAGTACGGCCAAAGGAAAAACAAAGTCCTAAACTACTCTAAGTGTCACTCCAACTCCAATCGACACTTAGAACTAGTCATCCTTAACCTTGTCGTCCATTCTTTGAAAACCGAAACGATTTCCATCGTAGGGGCATGACCACCTCGATTGCCCAATCGATCTCCATTACCATGACCTAACTTAATTGCCTCTGCAAAACACACGTTAGTCATAGTAATCTTATATTGTCATTAATCACCGAAACCCAACAAAGGGGCCTAGATGCTTTCAATCTCCCCCTTTTTGGTCATTGATGACAATACCACCTCGAGTATGTGAAAGAGTGAGGTTTTTTACGGGCTTGGTTCATATAAGCTTTTGTCAATAAGAACAAAAGAGTGAGGCAAGCTTATATGACCCAAGCCAACACGATGTACTCAAAAGATATGAAATAAGCTTGATTACAAGTAACAAAGCTCATTTGCATCGGAGTATAAACGCGGAAGCAAAGGCAAATGAGCATAGCACAAGTGATATGACATTTAAATAATGTAAAGTAGAGAGCACACATGTCATATATCACAATTACGTAGATATCACTATCACATAGATATAATAAAATGCATGAAAGTAACACACGAATGCATAAAAGTAATAGTGTATCACACAAATGAAACTCCAAATGTATAAAATAAGCTAATAATAGATAACTAGCTCCCCCTAAATGTCGCTCCCTCTGAGTCTACATACTCGAACCCTCTCCCCCTTTGGCGTCAAACACCAAAAACTAAGGGTCGGTCGGCGGGGCTGCAGCGGACGAGCCGGGCGCTGAAGTACGTGGAGCAAGATGAAACTGGGCGCCATCATCATCTGACCCTGAGCTCTATACTGACTGACCCTCTGTGGCTGGAAGTGTCTCTGAAGCGGTCTGGGTCTGAGCTAGGACAGGTGCGGCCTGTGATGCTGCTGGTACGTCTGTCGTAGGATCTGAAGAGGCGACAGACGAAGGGAGCCTCTGAGTAGTCACGGCGACTAGAGCTGCTGTAGAAGGACCTGGGGCATGCATATGTGGCGGTGTGGGCATCCCTGTCAACTCGCTGAAAGATGCTCCAAGACTCCTGGAGACTGACGTGTCAGGCACAAATAGCGAGGATGATTGATCCGGTGTGAAGCCCGTCTGAAGTGGTGTGAACTGCGGGGCTACCACTGGTGAGGATAACCACTGGAACACCTGGACTGGAGGTGAAGCAAACTGAGCTGGAGGCTATCCCTGACTCTGAAGCCCACTGGGCTGTACAGCTGGAGTCGTCGTA